ATAAGTGGACTTTTAAAAAAATATATGAATCCTCCTAACAACCTTTTAAAAATATGTGCCAGAGCCTTCTCCCTCCCTCCCTCCCTCCCTCTCTCTCTCTCTCCCTCTCAGGGGCAGCCTTCTCAGGTCCCAGGACCATGTACACTGACAGCTGTTGGCTGCACATGCTCTGATACATAGAGAGCATATGCACAGAGACTCTCAGACAGATCTCCCCCACAAGCATCTTGATACAAAGAGATTGCTGGGGAATGAACGGTAAAACCTGGCCTCTCACAGTTATTGGAAAGAAATTGCTGGAAAGAGGAGCTTTAATAGGGTCACTCTGGGGGGAGGCATTAACCTTGACCCATTCTCAGCATTCTGGCCAGGTTAGATCAGGGATAGCAGTTCTGTCTTCCATTTTCTACCTGGTGGCTGATCAGCTGGATGGAAAAAAGGGTCTCCAGGGACACTAGTGGCTGCGTGAAACCCATGGGCCATGTTCCCCATATGTTTGTTTGTTTATTTATATCTAGAATGTTAACTCTATTTATTTAACATTTGCACATTGGGTTTTTTTCTGATTTTTTTCACAAGACACTTTACACTGCTCTGAGAGAAGTTAGTAATTCCTCCTTCCTAAGAATTCCAAGAAAACTTTAAAAGTCTCATACTCTTAAAATCCTTGCTGCTAATACACTTTGACATTGCAAGTCATGTAATAATGACACATTTGATTTTTTCCCCCCAACTGCCTTCAAGTCAGTCTTGACTCCTGGTCACTGACATGGACAAATCCATGCAGTTTTCTTGGCAATATTCTCAGAAGTGTTTTGTCCTTGCCTTTTTCCTAAGGCTGAGAGAGTGACTGGCGCAGAATCAGGAGCTTGGTAGCATGTTATCTGACAAATACATTTTATTAAAAGGCATCAACTTTCATGAGCTCATGAAAAGACTCCTGGTTTGTTGCCACCATAGACTAACACAGCTCTCCTCTAATGACTAGCCCAAAGTGACTTAGCAGGCTTCCTCGCTTAAGGCAGGACTAGAACTCCTGTTTCCCCCTCCTAGTCCTGCACCTTATCCATCAGACCAACGTGGCTCTTAATATAATTAATTACCAGTGAAAATTACACTCCGAGGGTTGTCGGGCTGTAGTTCTGGAACCAGCACTCTTTTTCCAGTCCCAGCTATGTCCTTCCTTTCTTCCTTCCCCATTACAGCATGGAGGATTTTCAGCCTATTTCTTGCCTGCCTTGTTCACTCAAGGGTCAGCCATTTAATATTTGAAATAGAGCAGAAGAAACACTGTCATCCATCTCATCTCATGTTTATTTTTTCCTCCGTCCCACTTCCCTTCAGAACCCTTCCCAAGCTTTATTGCATGCTTCCTGTTGGCCCCCGGAGAGCGCTCCTTGTTTCCATGGCGCACGCTTTTCCTGCCTGCCTGCCTGCCTGCCTGCCAGGTATCTGGAAACCAGAGCAAGAGCAGCCGGCCGGGGAGCCGATCCCCAGCGGCCACCACGCCCTCCGCCGAAAGAAGACGAAGATGCTGCCGTTCCGAGTTCCCCAGAAATAGCTGCCGTCTCCGCGAGAGAAGGCGACCCTCTTCTTCCCCTTTCAGGCGATGAAGGTGGCCTTTGCAAGACTCCCCCGCGCCT